CCCTCCCCAGCCCGTCACCTGTTGGAATTTTGGGGATCCACCTCGTAGATGCTGAGGTGGAGGCTGCTGTTGGCGTGCCTGGGAGCACCGCGGCTTTTGTAGATGCGGAATTCCGCGGCCGTCACGGCCTCTCCCACCGGCACCTGGGTCAGGTCGAACCTGAACTCCTTCCAGTAGGGCTTGGGCGAGAACAGGTCCCGGTCCTGCTCCACTGAGGAACAAAACGCGTCAGGGATCCCAGCCTGGAACCTCCCCAGCTCCACCGAGACGGATTTTGGGGAGAAACCCGCTGGTTTTGAGCCGCTGGGAAATTCCCGGCTCCTGAGAGTTTAAATCTGGGTGCAGCCTCTTTTATTTCTGCCATTTATTTTGCTGTAAACCCACCAGCTTCTCCTCCCAGCCCTTATTAATATTAAAATAATTTAAATTTAAATTAAAAGCACAAACGCTGGCTATTGCAGGAGCACAGGAATTGTGCTGTGCTTTAGGGGCTGCAGCATTTTGTGCCTCATCATGAGGCGAAAAATGCAAAAATTTGAGTTTTTGGGGGTCAGCAGAACCATCTGGAGCAGGAATTGGGGTTTTCCAAACTTTTCTTGCAGCAGACAAGGCTCATCAGAGCCATCATCACAGGCCACAAGTAAAGATTTGTCCACGAGTAAAAATTTATCCACAATTAAAGATTTTCAGCCTGTGTGTTTCTGGGGAGTTGGGGGGGATTATCAGGTCAGTGATCTGTAAAAAATCAGATTTTTTTATCCTCCCTTTTTCCTGAAAAATTTCTCCATCACACTGGGACAGGAAAAATCTGATTTTATTCTGTTTGTCCTTAAAGAATGAACCTTCCTTCCCTATGGTAATGCAGCCCCCACAGTTTTGCTAATGTGCAAATTATTTGCATCAAATTGTTCTTTAAAAATATCCCAATCTTCCTGGCTATAATTAAAGTTTATGATTAAATATGATTCAAATGTGACTAAAGCTTCTCCTGCTTCAGGCGCAAAAGCAATTTGACCTGGTGCTTGCTTTTAAAACAAATAACCAACTAAATCAAAAATAAACCTTTTAAATGCTTTTACTTACACAAGTAAATTAAAAAAAAAACAAGTTTTTTTTCCTTCTTCTTCTTCTTCTTCTTTTATCCTTTTTTTTTATTTTTTTACCCCTTTTAAATTTTTTTTTTTTTTTTTTTTTTGGTCAGATCCCACATTCCCTCCAGCTCCTGGCCTCACCACAAGTTGTGATTTAAAAAAAGCCCAGGGCAGGGCGGATGCGGAGAGCGCTTCCTGCTCCGGCGGGGCGGCTGCCAGCGGCAGCAGGAGGATGCTCTGGGGTCCTGCCCCCTTTTTGGGGGGACACAGAGCCCCCCAAACCCTCTCCAACCCCTCTTTTCCATTTTATCCACCATCCCATGGCAGGGTGGTTTTATTCTCCCTGGATTATTGGTGCTGCCGAGGTCTCGTGGCGCTCACAAAATCCCTGAATTCCCCCCCAAAAAAGCACCTCTGGTTTTTTTAGCACTGATAAACCCCGGTGTTTATCCCATGGATGATCCTCAGGTACAGAGTGGTGTCCCCTTGGGTGACCCCAAAATCTTTGGCTGTAGCTCTGACCCAGGTGTTTTTTTTGGGGGGGGGGGGGATTTTATTGTCAGAGCCAAGGAGGTCACGGAGACCCCACCTCAGATAAAAAAAAAAGCCAAAAAATTGATTTTTATCCCTAGAAAGGAGTGAAAACCTCGGCTAAAATTATTTATTAAAATTTCCTGTGGCTGTGGAGGTGATGGAGGGGCCCAGGGATGATGAAGGCAGAGGAGGGGGTTTGGTAGGGAAGGGAGCCCAGGGACACCTCAGCAGTTGGAGAAATGCTAAAAGGGCTGCAATTAGCTGAGCTCCTTGATGAACCAAACAAGCTGGCAGCAACCTGTGCTTGGGATGGAATCCCTGAATCCTCTGCTCCTGCAGGGAGAAGCAAAGGGAACCCCTTTGGAGGGGAGAGAACAGAGGGAGAAGCTTCCCCGCTCTGTCCCACAGACTTGGAGAGGCTCCAGCACCGCTAAAATAAGAATGTTTGTGAAATGAGAACCCTGCAGCTCCCAGAGGAGCCGTGGGTGCTCAGACCCTGCTGGGGGTGTGCTGGAGGTGCCCCCCTGGCTGCTTTGGGGAGCCCAGGGTGCCTGGGAACCTGCCCCCGATTCGGGTTGACTCAGCCACACCACCAACCCTCAATTATCTGTGGGCGGATTATCCGGATTGCAGAGGAGACGCACCAAAAAAGCCCAACCCAAGCGCTTTGCTCTCCTTTTCCCCCTCCTTTGGCATCATCCCCAGGAGCTGCTGCATCTCCCCCTGGAGCTGAATGTTCCCCACTGTGCTCTGCGCTCCCATCACCCCCCCAAAAAATCATCTAAAAATGATTTTACACCGATAGAAACAACCCTGGGGCCGTTCCCCCAGCCAGCTCCATCCCAGCTGAGCCTCCTGGTGTCTCCCTGAGCATTCCCAGACCTGTTCCCAGATCCCACCTTCCTCCTGCTCCCCAAAAAATCATCTAAAAATGATTTTACACCGATAGAAACAACCCTGGGGCTGTTCCCAGATCCCACCCTTTCCTCCTGCTCCCCCAGGTTATTCTTGTGCGCTTTCTGTGCTTCTATAAACTGCGCATCAGTCGTAATTACCGGTCCTGGCTGCTCCCGATGGGTCCCCATCATCATTTCAGACACCAAATTAAAAGGAAATGCCAGGATATTCAACCACATCAAGTGCTCTGGGTCCCAAAATAGGTTTAAAGGAGATGCAGGGAAGATGCTGTCCTTCACTAGGAAAAAATAAGCTCTGGAGGCTTTTTGGAGTGGGGAGGGGTTTAGGAGTTATCCCAAGACGAAACTCCCAGGTTTTGGCTCGTGAGTGCTTCCTTCTTTCTCCTGGGATGAGCAGGACACGGGGCCAGCTCTGCACACCCCCAGTCCCGGGACACAGCCTTGGCCCCTGCCCTACACACAGGTGGATCCCAGGGGTTTATTTGGGAGCTTTTCCCATTCAAACACACGCAGAGGGGTTCACACAGGGCACTGACACCCCGGCACAGGCTGCCCTGGGGTGGATGGACAGAAGTGGAGGCTGAAATTGCTGCAGAATGAAGCCAGGGCTGGGGAAATCCTGAGCCAGCTGGATTTCAGTGGGAATTGTGTGGGGGCGAGGGCAGTGGGTGATGAACTCCCAGCGTGGAGCACAACCCAACTCCTGAAATTCAATTAAAGAGGCTGCCCCGAGCTCCCACCCCACGCTTGTGCTTCCCTGAAGCGCCTGGGGTGCTGTGGCTGGTTTTTGTTTGTGTCCTGCATTCCTCCCCGCTGCTCCCTGGATTTTCCAGGAAGGTGTTTGTCATCTGAAACATGGAATCACACACTGCTTTGGGTTGGAAGGAACCCTAAAAATCATCTAATTCTGACCCTTTGCTATGGGAAGGGCCGTCCTCCAATGGATCAGGAGCCAGGGATGCCAGGAGGGAAAGGGGGGATGTGTGTCCTGGGGAGCTTGGGAATGCTGTGAGTGTCCTCTCCCCCTTCCCATCACAAATCTGCTCCGTGATTACACCCTGTAATCCATCCATGACTCACAGCCGAGGAGAAATCCCAAAGCCCATCCTCACCCCGAGTTTAAAAACCCAACATCCCAGGGGCACAGAAATATCCCAGGTCAGGCTTTATCCTGACTGCAGAGCAGCCAAAGGGGTGGCACGGGCAGATCCAGCACCACCAAAGGCAGCTGGGGGTGCCCCTGGCTGTCCTGTCCCCCAAACTGGGCCGTGTTTGTGCTGCAGGGAGCTTTGGCATTCCCCCTTCCCAGGAACGAGCTGTGCCGACAGCCGGGCTCACACGGTGAGAGGTCCGAGTGCCCCATGGGGCACGGCCTTCACCCCATTTGCATGTCCCATCAGGATAATTGTGCAGCTAATTTTGTATGCAAATGAGAGCTGGCCTTCTCCCACAAAAAAAAAAACAACCTTATTTAATTAACATGAAGGGGTTGATGGAGCCACAGAAATCAAAGCCATTCAAATTGGAGGCTGGAGCTGGGTTCCCCAACTCTCCTGGCCACTCCAGGAGCTCTGGGAAAGGGGCAGTGCCCCCCTGTACCCACAGTGATGCTCCCCAAAGGCTCCCCTGCACATCCCACCCATCAGCCCTGACCGTTTCAAATCCCATTTCGGTGCTCGGGTGTTGTCCCAAGTGCTGAGGGGATTTGGTGTTTCAGTTTTTTGTCTCCATCGCTCCCAGCTTTCCCAGGATGAGGAGCTCCAGCAGTTCCCTCAGGCCTCTGGAGGGGAGCTGGGTGCACCTGTGGTGTGTCCCAGGGAGACTCCTCACACCCACACGGGGTACAGGGGGTGTAGGAAAGGGTGAGAGGCACCTCTGGAGCCCCTCCCTCACCTAAACCTCCTCCCAGGGGCGCAGATCCCCCTCCCATCCTCCAATTCCAATTCTCCCATCCTCAGAGGCTGGGGAGGACTTTGTGCTTGGGGTACCCAAACACCCCTGAAGGCGATGAGCAGGGGCAGGGAGCAGCTCCACAGCCGAGCTCCCGGCCTGAAAACCCCACTGCCTTGGGAGCTCCTGCTGGGAGAGAGGACTCGGCTCATCCCGAGATGCTGGGAACAGCTCCACGCCTGCTCCAGCAGCTGGCTGGAGAGACCAGGGATGCTGGAGCCTGGCAACGAGCTGGAAGGGATTCCAGCAGCAACGAGCAGCCTGGAGGATTTTATTCGGAGCCCTGATTCCCGTCCAGGGTCACCCTGCTGCTGTTCCCAGCGCTGCTGTGCCCAGCCCCCTTCCCTCCCCACCTTGTGCCCACTGAAATGGGGAGAGGGGCGGGGGGCGAGGCTCCCTCAGCTCGCCCTGGCTGCAGGACATTCCCCTTCTCCATTTCTCCTTTTTAAACGAAGTTGGGATTCATCCCGGCCGCTTTCACCAACACTCGTGTCCCCACACCCACCGTGTCCCCCACAGCCACCGTGTCCCTGACACCCACTGTGTCCCTACAGCCACCGTGTCCCCCACAGCCACCGTGTCCCCCACAG